TGGCATAGAAAAACAACGAAAAAAGTGCGTCTTCTACCTCCTTTTTTACATTACGTATTTTTTATTCATATAACTTCACCAATATTGATTGAACGGTTGATTTTGTAGAAGGAAACACCAAGAAGAGACTCCCGCGGTTGAAGATCAGATTGTATCTCCTGTACAACGTAAACAGGTCCGTCATTTCGTCTTTTTTTCCTTTTTTGAGGGAATATTATTGTGAATATAGTGCATATATTTTCTGCCTTTCATGCAACACTCCGTCCTCTATAAAATGTAGGAAAGTCGCAAGTTTCCAAAAACCATGACCAAATGCAATTTTCCATTATAGCGTCTTCATTACATCCACCAATTTGTGAGAAGATTTCATGGTTAGTAATATCTTCTAGAAATGCAAAGTTTGATCAAACATTAGAGGCAGTATTAAATACTGAAGTTCACTAAGTCGGCTTGCCCATTAGCAGTGAGGAAATGTACATCGCCGCTACGAAGAGACGTTGGAATTTGCTGAGTATACTTCACAGCTTCGTCTTGAGAAATGAGCTTAGTACTGCTTACAATTTTTGTTGAAGAATGTTCCAAACGGAGGCATGGAGGTTTTTTTCCTCAGCACTGCTGTGCATGTAACCTTGTCGAAACTTTCACTTTCTATTCGCAAGCTCTTCATACAGGCGCTTGTAAGCATTAGTGTATTAATGATGTCAAAAGCCTTGTTAGCTAATGTGGACGAAAAAAGCAAACGGACAAATTTAACGGAGTCAATCCAACGACTTCTTGCCTGTAAGCTGGGATCACCACCAGTGCGCTTGCTGCTTTACAGCTAAGTTCGCAAAATCGTTTATAAGGTTTGGAGAACAGTGTGAGATTAGCATCTCAAGATGAAAGTGGTGCACCCACATTCAAAAGTGAGGACCGAATTGTTAACCTCTCCTGGAAAGGAAGGAAGGAATTTGTTATTTCCATGGGACCTTGTTTTGTTCCTTAGCGTGAAGCTGCTTGGACAACTCAGCTACCACTGACACATAAGCTTACGAATAGATGCTGCGCTCAAACTATGAGGGCAGCAAATCTGGCCGAAGCGGCAGTGTTAGCGGAAATGTTGCATTTGTGCAACTGTAACTACCGCCATTTGATGTTTGGACAAAATAATAAGCTCACTCAAAACGGATGCAATGAACATAGTTTCGTGATTTCTCGTTCGATTACCTGCCAGACACATTGTATGAAAAACATTTTGAGAAATTGGAGAACATGTGCCTTCTTCTATTTTGATCGTTTCGAACAACAAACGTACACGCTCCGGTAAAATCATGTGTGAACATTCCAAGTCTTCCATTAGTGACAGGCCTCTGATTCGGCTTCCATCGTTATCATGGATCCTTATACTTTGGTGGAAACAAAATCTGAAGAAACAATACTGAAGAAATTTTCTTCCTGAGAGGATTTTCGATTATTTCCATCAAACTAAAAAAATGGAGTGCTTTTTCTTCCTACTCTTGGGAGTAGAATAGCATACGGCCGTGTATACACAAAGTGGTCGTTTGGAAGAAACTTTGCAAAACTCATGAAGATAATCATTTTTGCGCCCTCGTATTTGTGCAATTTTTATTGTTACTATTTATTTTTATTATCCATTTCTCCTATTTCATGGGATTCTTCTCAGTGCGATTATTGCACAGAAGTTTCGGATGTAGTGGAACATCATTTCCATGTTTGTTTTCT